TTCGATTGGCTACGAGTACGACAAAATAAATTTCATAAGCTAGGTGACGTACACTGTATTCGCATCAGGACCCTATCCACCCAAAATGGCAGTGCTGCAGCATGTCGACTATCTCCCTGCGTCTGCGCTTCTCAAGTCGACCTAGCTCTCTCTGGCCCTCTGTCTGACTGGTCAACTAACTAGAAAACACTCTGCATCTCTGCAGCGATGCCGCGACTTCGAAGTAGCACTCCACATCCAGCAGGTGTAGCCCAGTCTGCCTCTTTCTCCCCTCCCCCCCCCATTATCCTGGCGTCCGTTTTTGTCCAATACCAATCATTTACTCACCCTATAGGAATTCATGTTGAGTTGAGCATACAGAATTTTCCCATCATCGATATCTTTCTGCGTAAACACTTTCGCCTCTTTCTCACCAGCAACCCAATAAAAGGTGCCGTTTTCAGGACCGTTGGTGATCTGAAAAAGGATGAAACCTAGAATTGAAATCAAATGTATGAAAAACCTCAGATTACTTGCGCAAGCATCGAAAAGAATAAGAATTTTTCATCTTTGTACTTTCAACGTCACTTTGACGCATGCACGCGAAAGTAGACCCATGAGCGTAAAATCGAGAAAGCAAAAGGAAGCATAAAAAGAATGACGGAATTAGTAGAATTGTCGAATTCGAAATTGTTCAGGAGACCAACTAGCAGGCAAGGCTAGGCCTTTCTTTGCTTGTCTGCGCTCTCATCTGGTCAACTACAGGCACTATCTACTTGAGAGGGTTTGGACGAGCAGGTAGTGGTACTGGCTTATTCTACGCATCGATTTCTCACACAGCGTCTCTCTTCTAGATGAAGAACTTGTAACATACCTTATACGTTATAGCAGATCTATCACCATTCGAGTATGCTCCAAGATGGGTCCTGAAACGAATGCTTGATTCTGTGGCAATGACAGTCTCTGCTAATAAGGCAACGTACTGATTTGAGCAAAACATAGGTTTTGCCCTGAGGATACTCGATGGTAGTGTGATTCTCTAGGGCGAGATCAAGTGGTTTGATTTTCACGACCAGTGCTCGTGAATGACCCTCAACAGATAGGGCGACCACGTCGTAGGATGACATTGCCATCGTTCGACGGCACATGACCAATCGATACCAAACCCTCGTTGACCTGAAAAATCGATGAGACCATGAAGTTCAAGGAGTGCTTCATCTTACGATGCCATCACCATTGGTGTGAAGTTTGGGGTATCACTGATTTCGCCCAACATCACTTTTTTACGAGTTCATGGCAGCGTTCAGACTTCGCGTCAACGCGTTGTACCGCGCTATAGTTCAAACAGCGCTCCAATTCGACACAGCCGCAGACGGGAATCAATCGGCGCCGCTAGTGTGTTGAGAGAGTATGGGGGATTTGGAGGGTATGCGTTGCCTAAACACGCTGTCTGGTATCAGTCGGCACTGGCCGCTACGGGCGACGCCGATCGATTGCCGTCCTGCTGTTGCGTTCGCGTCTATAGCATTGGAGCGCTGTTGTAACAGCAGCGCGTTACAGCGCGTCGAGCGCCTCTTCGCGAAGTCTAAACGCTGCCTATCTGGCAAAATTCGCGAGAGCTCCGCTTCACTTGTCTGGTTAGTTTGCCTCTATTGCAAAATACTCCTCGAGCCGCCATCCCGTTCAACTCGACGAGTCACTTATTCCATTCTTTCTTACATTACTTTGCAGTTATTTATATTTTTACTTAATTCTTTAACTCCTTTCAAAGAATTCTGTGACAGGTTAACAGATATCCAGTGCTGCCGCAAAACATTGCCGATGACATACCAGTAAGCTCTGCTAGTATGGTGCAGGGCCACAGACTGCCTGAAATATGGTCTATAGACCTGCCACTGCTATGATATGGCGATTTACAGTCGCTACTGGTACACTATGTAGAGGCGTTCCTGCGCACGTACGATTTGGCTCGGCGCCAGCTCTTTCCACCAACTCGTGGGGCGGGCAAGCCAATGTTTGTGCGTAAAGAGGCCTCCTACTCTACCGGCGTCTCGATGAGCACTCTGTGTATGTCATCGGCAATGTTTGTGGAAATCCGTCTTCGAACCTAATGGTTGCCAGGGTATTATGGTGAATGTCACCGGCGATGTTTGTCGAAAAGCCAAGACAAAGCACACTGAGACTCTAACCTGTTGCTGGCTAAACATCGTTTTCTTCTGACCGCTCACTCGAATCTCCGTGCCTGCAGTACCAGGATGTATAAGCTCATAAACAATGGACTGTGGCGGTACGTGTGGATGCGATGCGTGGAAGAGTTTGGCGGTAACCGGAACGGCACCAGAATTCCGTAGTGAAATGGATGACGGGAATCTGGATACCTGAAAAGTGGTAATATTCGATTTGGTGAACTGATTTGAGAAAAGGGTTACTATGAGAAAAACGCTACAAAAAACTTATTTCTATATTTTCTTCGAAAAGGAAACAATACAATAAGATAAGTGGAACCTAGACAGGATACAATAATGGTGCTTAACTTCATAATATTCTTTTTTATGGAAATATGCCAAGAAATTTGAGAGAAGTAATAAATATATCGTTAATGGTATTGGATATGGTCATTACAGTGTCCAAAGTTACCTGTACTAGAGGATCTCGTGGTGCTCTGATATGTATTGGTACAGTTACCCGTAAGCGGCTACTACGACGAGTTTTCTCACTGGCCGGATAGATGAAGAACGTCACGGAATCGTCCCGAGACTCCTCACCCTAAACAACTAACAACCTCAAATTTGGTGAAAATAGTCCACCTTTATCGTATGGGCGGAGTCAGGCCTGACATCGTGCCGTCACATGGCCTTCTTCTAAGACAACAGTAATCGCAATAAGTATCCAATATGGTAGCATGACGGCTGACCCGCCCAAACTCTTACCCTTCGCTGAATATTCAGAAAAAAATGTGGAGCTCTTTTCTCGGCTGTGTGTTTAATTTTCCGCAACATTTATCGAAAGGAGGTTTTATAAAAATTCTGGTTGATTGTCGTAGTCGTTTGGACCGCCCATTGAGATGGTTAGGATGAAATAACCCCGAAAAACCCGGATAATGGCTGGGTCGGTTCAAACCACAAAATGTAAACTAACGGGTCTTCACAAGAGAATGCTTAGTGATGAACAAAGGTTTCGACATCGGGCGGGAGCTGAATCGGCACTTTAGGCTTGCCAGGTAGGGGCGCTGTCAGTTGCCCCTCCAGGGGCTTTCATGCGTATTTAGCCAAAATAATTACTAGCGGGGTGCATCCTGGGCTTGAATAACTTCTCCTCCCTACAGGTGAAGTCAACCAACGATCAGACTACTTCAAAGGGTTTATCGCAAAGGAATGGAAAGATCCAAGAGGCTAAGTAAAGTTTCCCCCCGGTTTCATCCTTCATTCTTGGAGGGTGTTCCTGTAATTTTAATGGTGACGAGCCAGAATTCGTATTAAGGCAAAAGCTCACCCCATTCCTGTAGATCAATTTGGGTTCACTCTGAAACTCAGACCAATGCATCGATGCAGCGGCTCCGTCAAGAAATTCAAGCACTCCATAACGTGGCGGTGTAGACACTTCGATAATTAAGTTCTATAATAAAAGCAAAGTTCTTGTCAGCATGTCCAAATGATTTTAAGTCGAAATAAATAAAAGGTAAACTCAGGACTGGAAACGATGATGAAATGCAGAAATTACTAGTAGTAAACAGGCCCACCAAGGGCTTTGTTCTAGTTTTTTGAATTTGCACTTCATCGATCGAGGTAGATCCCAACAAACATTGCCGATGACACACACACATGCACCAGCTTGAAGGCTGCTTTTTAGCTAGTTAGATGGAAGAAAAGAAAGATGCGCAACTAGAAAGTTTGGTCAATACTAATCTGAGTCAAGTATTTCAAATCAGAAAAACGCAGTTTGTACGAAAGTTCAGAAAAATCCATAGTTAGGAGAAGTGGTGTTTCAATGAACTTCATTCAATGAGGTGATTACCTCTTTCTCCGCCGATGATGCCAAGGTCGAAGCATCAAGGTGAGCTTTGGTCAACGCGGCTGATCCTCCTGAAGGTAGAAAATGGTAGGGTAAAATGAAGAAAATCGTCAAAAGTATAGTCATTTTCTATTGCCCTCAGGAATAAAGGCGCATTCCAAGCTACTCCTACGGGCGGAGTCATCCAATCGTTCTGCCTTCCTCAAAGGTGCGACTCTCCTCTTGGTACACGTTGAGGGAGGATGTGTGCACGTCGGCATCGATATGAGCAGATACGCCTGGTCACTGCGCGTTCCCTGTTGGCACGCTTTTTTCACTGCATCAGAAGGAGAGTCACACCAGAAATATAGAATGATTGGGTGACCCCGCCCAAGCGAATAACGTGAACTGTGTCTTTGAACTGAAGTTAATGGGAATCTAGCTCAGTGTTAATTAGAACTGGACACATACAACGTACCTTTTGAGATATTAAGCGGCGAAGTTTTCACATAGCTTTCTGTAGGGTCATGTAGAGCAGCGTATGTCGATGCGATGCGGAATCTGAAATCATACCTTACAGTTATTTTACAGAAACACTCGAATCTGTGGCCGGGGTAGTGTAGTAACTGAAAGAGCTGCTCTGTGCGTTGAATTTGGGCTACGAATAAGCCTCCCTTTCTCGGTTTCAGTCAATTGGGACAGCCCCATCCGAGATGACAAAAACAGTGTTTTTAGCTCAAAAAAATGGTATAGGTCAGAACGCATCCAAATGCCTCCGTGATCATGAAAGAAGTTCTCGTATATGGCGCCTCTCATTGAGCGCCGACGACCTTAGATCCTATTTTGTACATTTTACACATGATGCGGTCATAGTAAGATATGAATCCCGGGGGACTTTCAAATGTTACCTGAATTCTTCCTCTATCGGTTTGTCAGATCCGTTCCTCTGGAGCACGAAATAGAATGAGTCTTTTCTTGTCCATTCCTTCTGTGCAGTCCCCAAGGGCTGGTAGACAACACGATTTCGATTCAGCTGAAAGGAATTCGCTGAATGTACGGAAATGAACACGTGAATCTGTGCCTAAACAGTCACAGAGGGACAACAGGCAGTAGTACACGTCCCGCTCTTGAGGGAACATTTTGCAAACTAACATTCCCTACCTAGAAATTTGCACCTCTGATACGACCCTCTTTCCCCGTCATCTTCCTAAACTTTTTTAAAAAGTAAAGTCGATAACCGAAAAATTTTCTCAAGGAATATTACGACCGCCACCTTCTCAGCGAAAGCACGTCTTGATTAGCACTGAGGATAAACTGCGCCCGTTCTCTCGGCTATGACCACGCACGCCTTCGGAATCGTAGTGGTCTTTGAACGCAATACGGCTCGAACTAGAGGTCAGCATTTTCATCGTCCCAGTTCAGAAAGGAACCAGCTGTCGTCCTTCTAAGTGTGGGAGGACTAATCAGAACTGGGAGATGCTGGAGGGCTGACCAGGGAAGTCCGTCAAGCTTACCATGGAAATTCAAATGGACCTGGGTAGATCGATAGAGTCTATAAGGTTATTTACAAATATAGATAGCAAAACTGCAACCTGCATTTCACAAGCAACTTATGAGCAGGTAATTGTTTGTAAAATGCAGGTTGCAGTTTTGCTATCTATATTTGTAAATAACCTTATAGACTCTATCGATCTACCCAGGTCTCCATTTGAAGTTCCATGGTAAGTTGGCAGACTTCCCTGGTGAGTTGACCTGGATTAAATTCGAACCGGACTGCTCTTTGACCAGTGTATGCTATGACTGCCCCATTTGTCGCTGGCCCTTCGCCGTATGAAAAAGCGATTATATTTCTTAGAGAATGCTTACATCGAGCTGACTGAATTTTCCGGTTTCATTCGAGCCGACCAGTAGTTTCCCATATTTCGGTGGCTTGGATACAGAAAACAGAATCTGTTCTGGCCGGACCTGAAACATGTCCAATGCAGACAATACTGCTACTACACACCGTCAAAATAAATAAATGTAGTAAATAAACAGCGATATTAGAATTGGAAGAGATTGATGCCAGAAGCGAGATTTATGTAATGAGGCGTGATGGGGACCATTGTTAAAGGCACAGTTCGCGACCGCAAATTGCGGGAAACGGAACTCAAATAGGCACAAAAAAGTGCTAAGTATCTGATTAGCGGAGAAAAGCAGCAGAAAAAGCAGTCCGAAATGTTATAGAGAAAGATAACATAGTGGCTACTAGCTAGTAGCTAGCAGCGGTGAGGGATGACCATGAGGCCTTAAGGGGTGTCCATGGGCCTAATTAGTCAGCTTCTAGCGGAGTTCTTGCCGTTTTCCACATTTTGAAAGTAGCGCAGCCTCAAAAATCGCCTTTCGGATCGTC